TATGCATTGATAACAAATAATGGAATTGAGTTAAAACTACTAATAACATTTACATGATCGAATTTTATATAGGATTGTATTGCCATAGATAACTGGTCTAATTATATAGACTCAATATCTTGCATTTCTATTTTTTTCTTTTTTTGTTGATGTTGAACGATCATTGTACGGAAGTTTCCGGTTCCTATTCGTAGCTAATGTGCTCAACAAAAACTTTCTCGAACAAAAGAAATAATTCAATATTCTTTTTCTCGAAAGCACAATGATAGTATCATTAACGAAGATTTTGAGAAAATAAAAATACTATACTTAACTTCAGAATTTATATTCTAGGACGATCCTTCCGACCATCGGAAGCGGCATATTAGTGCATTAATTTTCATCATATTTTGTCATAGTCTACCACCGCAGATCGAACAGAACAGCGTCTTTACGTCACTATTTCCCGTAAGCTTGTAGAACGGTGAGAATAGTAGGAAAAATAATTATCGCTTACTAGCGAAAAAACTAGATGATGAATTATGGTAAAATCCGGTCGTAACTAGTGTAGTGATACGCCATTTCATACTCGTTTCGGATCGTTTAAGGTACCGCTTCCAACAGTCGAAACGATCGTCCTGTATCGGGTATTTTGCTAGTTAAACAATCATTGTTTCTCCCTATTTTTTTTTATTCTTCTACGAGTTTAAGGAAACCGGCGACGTAATGAGGTCGGTGTTTACCGTCTTATATCGTTTACGACTGCATTTTCTTGGACCTGAGGATATTTGTTTTTTCTCTGTTTATTTTGTAACAGATTATATTTAAAATCTTTGATTATTTATTGTTACTAATTAAAGCAACTGATCGAATGTGTACAAATGGTTTAATTTGTTTTTGAATTATAAAGTAACATTGTTTTTCATAGAACCACATAAGAATTTTCAAAAGAAGAATAAAATAATAGGAAATAGATAAGCATTTTAATATAAAAAATATAATAGGAAGATGAAGATTAATTTTGTATAGTTTACATTCTTGTTGTTGTTTTGTCATTAATGAAGAATTAAAAAATAAAACTAAAATTCTTGCAAATAGTTGCGATAAAAACGATCGAATATTGTTATTAGACGATAATGCCGATTCATTATTACATTTTCGAATTGTTAAAAATAGAATAGGTTCTTCAAAATATTTCCACAAAAATTCAAAATAATGAATACTCAATACAAATATACTTAAAACTATTCTGATCATAATCATAAACAAATAGAATTTATGTTGCTATAGTGTTTTTTTTTTGCGAAGCACTTTTAACTTTATAATACCTGCAGATTAATGATAAAAAATAATAAATCATATTAAGATTAAAACTAAAGTATATAAGATGAGTATCTCTTGATTCTCACAATATGTGTTATCTAAGTTTTAATGATTATCGTATTTCTAGAATATTGTAAATAAATAATTAATTTTATCGTATGTATCCAGAAAATATTTTATCAAAGAATTAATTAGTTGTTTATGATATGAAATACTTAATTCATAATTATATAATAATTGAATAATTGATTGAAATAATGTATAACATTGATAATAGATTATAGAAAATAATTCATGATGACAGTGACCAGTAGAAATACAGATAAAATGAAAACAGAGTAGAAAATAAATAAGAATTAGAAATAAAATAATTACATATTGTTGTTTATTAAAAAACAATATCAGTACTTTTAACAAAAGAAAGAAAAGTTATGAAATTCAATGACTTAGATATAATAAGAGCTCGCACTATTCAATGTGACATGTTGGTGATTGAATTGTGTTAATGCTGAGCGTCTTCAGAATTTGCTATTCTATTTTGAATTTATTGATAATCTGAACTTTATCATTCATTTTACTTTTTGGATCTTGCGATCAAATTACCATACATATGATTTTTATCAATTAATGAAAATTGTTATGACAAATCTTATCGAAACTACAACAACTTTGTAAATTGATCCATATCAATTGAAACTCTAATTGGCCATTAAATGATGAAGGAACGAACATCTATTTTATCAAAAATAATTTTTTTTTTCTTTTGTTACAGTCGATAAAATTTCAATTTATAATGAGCAATTCGTTATGTAGTGTAGTAGAATTTACATTGGTTTTATCCGAAGTGTTTCCAACTTTCAGAAGTAGTAGAACCTAATGTTCTGACGTCAAAAATCACCATTAAAAATTCTAAAAGAATAGTATCTCGACAACTTTCCACTTCAGATTTCAAAAGCCTTCCTAGCCAAAATCTGATTTCTCGAATTTATTGATTTTAGATGATAGAAGATTGGCACATCTACAAAAGATACTAATCAGTAAGATAAACGTTTTCTTAACTGAAAAATTTTTCTCCAACGTTTCACTTGAATCGAAAAGTCATTCAGAAAACTCGATTTTCTCGAAGCTTTCGGAGCTTAAATTCTTCCACAAGGAATATGATATTATTATCAATATTATATCCACTACAACCATTTTTGAACATTCTATCCAACTATTGAATTTGTAAAGATGTAAAAGTCGAAACCAGTTGTTGAGTATGAGGATTTTGGGAGCCGATTTTGATTTTTACCTAAACTTCTAAAGTTCCTACTCAAAAGACAAAGGATTCCTGTGAGAAAAACAATAAATATTCATAATCCATTCACATGAACCTTTAAAAAAATGATATTCTGGTATTAGCCAGCACTTTACCATCGATGAGTTTTTTTTTCAGCAAGAAATCTAGTAAGCATTTCTCAAAGCGTTTAAACTCTCTGATCATGAAAATAAATAATTTTTTGCTACGATCTATGCCAGCGAGATCCAAAAAATGGGGTTATCCTCACATCGAAATCCTTAGTCTTCTCAATAAGCAGTTCCGATAAAAATCAAAATCGTCATACTGAGCAATTGGATTTGCCTTGACGCCTTTGAACATTTAATAGATGGATAGAACATTTAGGTATAATTCTAGCACATATAATATTGATAATTAAATCGTTTTTATTTAATAAAATGTTTGTTTTATTAATTAGTATCTTGTGTGAAAGTTTCAATCTTCTATTATTTAACATAAGAAAATTCTACAAATCAGTTTTTGACTAGGAAGACTTTTGGAATCCAGAGGTTGAAGACTATCAAGTCATCATTTAAAAAATTTTCGATAATGACTTTTTGCGTCAGGACATTAAGTACTATTATTTATGAAAGTTAGCAAGGCTTCGAATAAAATTAATATAACTTTGTTATGCTTTCCAAAGAAGCAGCGAACTACAATTTATTTGATTCTTTAACATACAATCAATAAGTCAAAAAAAATAGATTCAATTATAAGAAATCAACAGACAAGCAACCGATGAATGTCTCACTAAGTGCATTTTCAAAAACTACAACTGTTCAATTCGTTTACGAAGTTCATCAGCATGATCTTGCTTTAAACCAATATATATTTCGACTGCATTTGTTTCAGTTGGTAAAATCAAAATCAAACCATCCCATCGACTAGGCGGTAATGCAACTCGTCGAGGTGGACCTTGACCAAAATCAAATTGATAGAGTGGAAAGCGTGACCAGTTTGTAAAAGCTAAATCTTTTCCTAAAAATGCTTTGAAACCTGGATGAACAGGCTTGGAAACTTGTTTAATCCAAGCCAATGCTGATGTCATGTAATCTTTTGTCATTCGTTGTTTTTTTTCGACATTAATTTGTTCAGCTAATTCATTAACGGTTTTATTTAATAAATCAATCATTTTAAATTGAAGTGAAAAGTAAAAATTACAATTACCAAAATAATCTAAACCAATACCTAACTCATTTCGACCATCATTTGCCATACCAACATTAATTGTTTGATCTAATGGTATTTGACGTATTTGACTTATTGCTTGAGTTAACCAAGCAACAAGAACATCATTAAATGAAACATGTGTCGCTATTATTTTTAATTTATCAAATAATTCTTTTTTACTAAATTTTTTAACAATTACATCCATAGCAGGTAGTTCCTTGTAAGAATAATTAGGTGGTTGGATAGTATATTCGTTATGTTCATAAAGAACATTTGTCGCTGGTTTTAATAGAGATCGATCAAAAATAAATGGAATTACTTTTGAATCATCTTTATGACGCATCCAATTAGAAAATCGATCAATCAATGTAAAAAATCCACGTCCATCAGAAAATTGATGATTCATACCAAATGCTAATAATGTTCCATCACGAACATTTATTTGATGAAGAAAAAATAAAGGCGCATCGTCGGTTGGTATAATTGAATAAGGATATACATCAAGTTCTTGAAAACTACAATTAATATAGTTAGAAATAGGAATATCAGGTTGTTCAGTTCGACTAAATATTTTATTTAAATTCGATATTGATTCTACTAATTGACCATAATTTGGTTTATTATGATCATAAACAATTTTCCAAAATGCAATTGGACAAAATTTTCGAAGAAATTCAATTAATGGTTCTTCTAAATCATCTATTTTATAATCAAATATCACTGCTATACGTGTAAAACATTTAGGCATTACTACATCATTCAATGAAAGATCTTCCGACATTGTCTATCGAAAAGACTTACATACCCACAAATGTTGAAATATTGATGTTATTACGGCAATATCAATTGTTATCATTCTTCATGTAAAAGTATGACGAATAGAAAGTAAAATGATAAGACAACAAACTAGATGGCAACAGTCACCATATGACAATAAATCCATAAATGTGTCAGTTTCATATGTAAGTTGTCGATATTTTGATGTTGATAAAATAGAAAACGTTATCATACCATAAAAAAAAAGAATACTTAAGTTCTCTGCGAAGTATACTTACTTTATGATAAACATTACAGTTTGCAAGACTAAAAGAAGAAATCAAAAGTTTTATGAATTTCAAAATTTATGGTAGTATTCTATACAATAAAAGAGTGTAACATATTGCAGATTACAGACTAATTACCACAGCAACAACAACAACAACATATTAACATGGGTAGTACATGCTCTGGTAATAAAGACAATGAACAATCGATGAGCTATCTCAAAAACAAACCGAAAATCTCACTAGCTGAACAATCAACTCAAAGTCAATCAGATAATTTTTCTAGAACTAATACACATACATATGCTCCAGAAGATATTCTCGATGATGATTTTGAAGCGGAAATTATTAAAGCCACTGCTGAATGTATGGCTTCTATGCATATAGATTTTTATGTAAGTCTATTTAACTATATAAATCTTTATTAATCTTAGAAGTTTTAATAGGATGAACATAATCCTACTATCGATGATATGTATCGTTCAACATCTGAGCCTTATCGTATTCCTCGTAACTCGGATTATCCAGATAAAAATGAAATGATAATTAATGAGACGAATCATAGAAAAGCAACGTACAATGAAGTGAAACAACAGCTCTGTGATCGAATTAATGAACGTATAAAAGCATCGTTTGAATTGCAAACTGCTGATTGGGAACCGTCATCTCGAGAAATGGCTCATTCATTCATCATAGAATTTATTGCAAATCTTGTCGATGAAAAAATGAATCATTCAAAGCTTAAATAGCATTTATAATAAAAATATTCTTCTTACTATAAAACAAAACATATCTTTAAAGAAATAATACATATATTTTATGTAAATTAATGACATTTTACTCTTATCGTTTTTATTGATAGTTATACAAAAGTTAACTGAATGATTGGACGAATAGAAAAATTCATAAGTTATTATTTTCCTAATATGTCCATTCCAACCAATAAAAGAAATAGAATTAACAACAAAATACTTCATGGCAAACTTAAGATATTTCATATATTCAATTTGATGATATATTACACAGACGTTAGACGTTGACGTTTATCTTCAAATATAGCTTTATCAATAAGTTAATCACTTTAGAATACAATATAAAATGAACGAATTTCAATATTCTTGAAATACTAATAAGCATTAGAATTACGTAAACAATTAAGATCAGTTTCATCTATTGAATTGAATCATATATTATATTTACACAATACATTTAATTTTTTTTATTGTATTGTCATTTGAGAGTTAAACTTAAGGACTTGAAAGAAAGAAATTTTAGATATTCAAATAAAAACATATCAGTTTGATTGACTATTCAATAAGAAAATGTTTTCATGAATAAAGAATCTTGTATGCATTAGAAATATGTGTATTAGAAGTCCTTTCAGTATATCACTTTTAGATGAAGCGTCATTTATATAAAAGAAGTATAGTTTATTCATAGTGAATATTCTTTCAATATTTGTTTATGTATTTACTAAGAACACTTGATTGCTTTCAGTCTGAATGGTCTCGATAAAAAAAAAAAGCATAAAATTTTATTCATTCCTGTAGGACACTTATAACATAGCTGACTCTTTTTTTTTGGATCAATAAGTGCAAATCAGTGGCGATGTTTGCGTACTCATTCTAAGAAATATTTCAGAATGATATCGAGGTACATACGATAGCCAACCAAATCATCTCACTGAATATAAATTGGAAATCTTCGCCCTTGCAAAAGATTCTACAAAGAATTTAAATAGTAATTTGAATCGAGAAAATTGTTTTCAACAAAATGACAAAGAAATTAAACTCCTAGGTATATTTTCAAAGTTCAAAATTTCTAGAAAATCCGAGACCTAGGCTTTCAGCATCCGGAGTCCGATGATAAAAGTTTGATTTGATAACGAAAAACGAAAGAATAGAATATTTTCAGAAAAATAAGACGTCTTCGACTCTCCATGACATTATTTGGTTGAAGTATATGAGCTTTTCAGAAGCTCTGCAAGGCTTTTTTAAATATATTTTTCTCATTGGAAAGCGCAAAACAAACGTCTTTTGGATCTTTGTAAAATTCGTATAGCTGAGCCAAATAATGTCCTGGAGAGCTTAGAGAAGTTTTATTCATCGAAGAATGTCCTATTCTATCGTTTTCTGTTATCCACACGACCTTTTATTATTGAACTCTGAGTGCTGAAAATCTAGGCTTCGGGTTTTCTAGAAATCCTGACTTTTGAGAATATACCGAGTAATTTAATTTTCTTTTCATTTTATTGGAAAAATTTTCTCTACTCAAATTACTATTAAGATTCTTTATAGTACTTACCACAAGGACACAAAATAATTTTGCACCCAGTTGCATAATTTTGACAAGCACTACATAATGCATTTGTAAATATTCCAAGACAAATCATATGAATAATTTAAATCATAATACAAAGGTTTAATATTCAAATGAGTCAAATAAATAAGAAAAAAATAACTTTCTCTATTCTCTTTTTTTTTTTTTTGAATGTCAAATTAAACTAATATTAAGACAAAATGACTAACGAATCCATGTTAGTTTCACATGAAATTTAAATCATGATATCCAACTGAAGTTTCACTTTCGGATTATTTAATTTTCAAGGCATATTTGTCCATATGCATTCTTTCTTAACCTATAAAAATACATAGAATCATTCGATTATTCTCAAAAGAAATTTACACACAAAAAAAATACACAATGGACAGATTTGAGCTTTGTTCACTCATACAGAAAATAATTATAATAAAATACAATGACAAAAACATTTATCATGTGAATCTTTATCCAATGCAACTTTAGCTGCATATTCAAATACTTCTCTTACACCTTCACGTGTCTTAGCTGAACATTCAAGATAATTTTTTGCACCAATTCTTTTTGCACATAAAAGTGCATCTTCAGTTGTAATTATTTTTTGATTTTGACTTTTAATACGTTCATGTACAAATGGATCATCACGTAAATCACGTTTGTTTGCAATTAAAAGTATTGGAACATTATGGCAATAATGTTTTACTTCAGGTGCCCATTTGTCTGAGACACATGTGAGACTATCTGGTGCATCAAAAGCAAAACAAATTAATATAACTTGAGTATTTGAATAACCAAGAACACGAAGCCTAAAATAAAATAAAATAAAATAAAACAAGATAAAAAATGGAATAAAAATTTTACTTAGCATATTCTTCTTGTCCAGCTGTATCAATTAACAATAATTCAATACGTTTGTTATCGACATCAATAACATGTGTATTTCCTTCAAATAATGTTGGAACATAATCTTGACAAAATAGATTATCTTTAAATGCATAAAGTAATGATGTTTTACCAACATTACCATTACCAACAACAACTAATTTTTTACGAACTAAATCTATATTGGAAGTCATATTTTGTTTGAATTCATTGAATTTCTTGTCTTTATATTAATCTTCAAAAAAATAAATAAATAAAAGAGTAAAAAAAAAATAAGAACATTTGTCTATTTGCAAATAAAAGAAGATATTTTTTCATATTTAAGAAATGATTGGAATAGTATATAACTCATTTCGATAATCAGTAACAAGAAAAAACAAAACGATAAAAATATTGACATAAATATGCCATGTCAGAGGTAAACGAAAGGACGAGTACGATGTAACACAAAAGAAAAAAAAGAAAAAAAAAAAAGAACGCGAACGTAGCAACACGATTTATATTTTTATTTTTATATCGATTATTGTCATTCGATAGTCTCATTTCCAACTGGTAGTTGTTCTCATCGAATTGCAATATTATTAATACATATCATGAGAAAATATTTAAATTTGTCTTTATTAATATAGAACCCACAATCAGATAAATTGTCGTCAACTTTCGTTGTCAATATTACAATAGTTTGATGTTTGATCTTAATAAATTCAATTGAATAAGAAAAGAGAATGTTGGATCTCCTTCGTTCAATCAACTTATTCTCCTTTCTGTCTTTTTCTCATTACTTTTTTTTTTTATTCTATTACGCTCTTGATAAATAAAAAAAAGAAAAAGAGATTGATATGGATCACCAACAGACCGAGAGATGTGAGTAATGCCAGAAATGGAAAAATGACAGTATAAAGCTATTCGTATGAGTGTCTTGTTATTGTTACTGTTGATGGTGTTTGATTGCACAGGATAAAAGAAAAAAAAAAAGAGAAAAAATAGTAACTAGGATGAATCATTTTAGAGACTATTTTAGTCTTTTTTGTTTTACTATTGGTAGAAAAATTCTAATCGATATTATTTTACATATTATTTCATACAAATCATTATTCACTGGAAGATTAGAATATTTTTTCCTGTCTTCATATAACAATGACTCTTGCTGGCAAGCGGTGCAGTTTCACATCATGATAAGCCAATTGATAATACTTCATATTATAACACTCATGTTTTTTTCTTTTTGTTATAAAAAATATTATGACTGATGACGACAGGAGGATAATAATAACAATTAGAATAGATGAGAAGTGAGAAAGAGTGTAATGTTCCAGGCCAATATTTGGTCCTAGACAATATTTGTCTTTAAGAAACTTAGATGTTATAGACACATGATCAATCAAAAGATTTTGATTCTCTAAGTTACAACACTTCGCAGAACAATACACTTGAGAATGCTATTAGTCTACAAACAATTCTCCTTTTTGATGCCATCGGAACAATTGATATATTTTTCATATGTCATTTGTTTGTACATTATCCTCTATGGAATTCAAACGGTCTGATGTTTGAGAAGTGTTTTCTCAACACAAACATAACTTGAAAATATCGTGAAAGGATGCTTCTAAAGCAACAGAAATATTTTTTATAAGTATCTGAATGTCCAGATATCCCTAGGCCATCCGCTCCTCTTCTTCTACTGGGACGTCTTTATGGACAACTTATTTTCCCTTTGTCTTTGGTTTTAAGTTTTTTATTATTGTTCTTTTGACTTTTTTTTGTGTTCTTCATTCCACAGTCATCTTAAAAATTAAACTAAATGTACTTACTAATAAGAAATGCGTAGTTATCAACGACTGTTAAAGTTTTTTTTCGATTATAAAGAATTCAATGAACAAAAAAAATCTTTTGACAAAAATAGAATTTTATGTATTTTATTGATCTTTATAATTTTGAAACCTATATCCAATTTATAATTAGTATTCTTTCGTTCTCATTCATTTAGTTATATTCCACTATGTAAAAAGTTGCCGAGTTTTCTATATCCATTTTATTTGTACCAATAGAGTTTCTCTGATTTTAATAAATGATATCGGATTAATAATAATATTATCGCTCGTATTGGATATTTAGAAGCTATCAATATCGATGTTTACTCATCGATATTGATTTTATCATTCTATTCAGCATGAACCATATCAGTACCCGTCAAAGTAATCAGCATACAAGAACCAATATAGAGCAAGAAAAAATGTATAATTCTTTGAGAAATTATAAGAAATAAATTCATCTTCTATTAATTCTAAATGTTATATTATATAATAAATAATATCAGTTTGAAAATACAAGATTCTATTTTTTTCATGACTAACGTGTTTTTTTTTCAGCTGCGTTTCTAAAATAAATGACATCCATGTATATGAGAGAAAAAACTATATATATATATATATATGCATACTAAATTGAACAGAATACATAAAACAAAGAAAAAGAAAACAAATATCAGGTTCTATGAAGAAATATATGCGTTTCAACAAAGAAAAATCAAAACCTTCGAAAATTAAAC